CAGACTCTTTTTGGCAGTAGGGTCTAGATAAATAAACACAGCACTGGGGAGTCACAGCTCCTGAGTTCTAATCCTCACTCTGCCGCTGGCTCACTGGGTGGCCTGGGGCGAGTAATTTATCATCTCTGTGCCTGAGTTTCCCCATCTGTAACGTGTGTGTGTGTGTGTGTGTGTATGAATATTAATGGGCTAATGTACATGCAGCACTTTGAACACTTAAGGTGCTGTATGAGCACCAAGTCTTATGTCTGGAATGAGTTTCTCAGTGCTGCTTGGCTGCGGGTAGAGAATGCTAGAGCTGGTGTGTGGGGGGGACAGCTGGAGCCCTCTATAAATGGGCTAAAACACCAGGCAGAGCTCGCTGGCCCCTTGCCTGCCCGTTTTTGGAAGCTCACAGCACATGCTGATTCTGCGCATGAGGAGCATTTGGCTAGAACTGTCCAAAGGAGACTCTGCTGATAGCAAGATCCCACTGGCCATTCATTTCCTGTGCGACAGGTTCCCAACTACTGTTGACTAGGGGGCACTGGGCTAGGCCTTGTGGGAGAGGTGCCAGAAATAGCCTTTCCAGCTTCGCTTCAACAGAGCTTGGCCCAAGGCTCTTGCCAATAGCAGTGTGTTGTGGTAGGACAACTGACCATGCTTTCCCGGAACAAGGGTCCATCTGGTGGGAGAAGGGAGATTCTGCTGAGGGCATCTGGGGTCACCAGTCCTGAGCCTACCTGTATGTGCTGAGCCTGGCTCAGAAACCTGATTAGTGACAATTGGCCCAAAGCCAACGGCGCCTTCTCATGCAAATCAGCCTTACAGTGCATTGTGGGTATAGCAGTGTCCCTTACTGTAGGCCCACAGGCAATCTCGCCATTTCGGCTGGTGCGATGCTACATAGTCCTTGCTCAAGTGGTGATTGAAGACACCCCCTGGAGACACCCAGCCCTATTTTTATTGTTAGTTGTGCCATATTGACTTGCTGACAACCTACACCATAACCAGTTTGGTTGTGAAACACCAGCCCCTCACCTCCTGGGTGGAGTTAGCAACCTCATGAAACTACTGAGGCTGGCTGGTGCTGGAGCTGGGGAAGAAGGGGCTACTCTCCAAACTGGACTCTTGCGCAGTGAAGGTGGTTTACCCTGAATAACATCATTCTGCACTTCTACTTGAGGCTCTCAAAGTACCTTACAAACATGAACACACATAGCACCCCTGTGGCAAAGGGGCTGAAAGATACTCTCTGTTATGCACAGAAAGGGGAGATGACTAGCTCAAGGTCACACACACAGTCTGCAGCAGAGATGGGGATAGAGCTTAGATCTCTTGCTTCCCCATCCTGTGCCTTGTCAGTGAGAACCTCCTTGGCTCATGGCACTTCCCAGATCAGAGTGAAGGCTGGGACTTCCCAGGACTGGCTGAGGCAGGGAATGGAGACATCATCACAGAGTGAACTGTCTGCTCAATGTACTGCAGCCAGTGGCACTGGAGTGGGGAGAGGCGTTTTGGGAGAGGAGGGGAAACCTGCATTGGCAGGGGAGGAAAGCGGCATGGGAAGCTGTGAGCTAAGCCTGGGGAAATCCACCTGTTCCCTGGAACCTGTCATACCATGTGCTAGCTACACCCTGGCCAGGAGTGAGAGAGTGCTGTGTTAGCAGTTATAGCCAGAGTGTGTTCATGCAGAGACATTGGGTGACCAGGAGAGAGGCTGTGGCCTCCCTGTGCTGGTGTTGTGTGCTCCCGGGGTCCACCGTGCTCAGCATTGGGAAGGGCCCGATGGGTGCCCTGGCACAGACTGCAGAAGTGAGAAAAACAAACCCAGACTGGCCAGTGGGAGCAAAATTCTTGGCCAGCTTAAGGCTTTAGAGAGAAACTCACAAGACAGCCCTCGCCTCTCCCCCCAACTCTCCCTGCCTTTGTTCTGGCCACACCATATAGGTACAGAGCCCTAATCTCTCTGGCATGCAAATACCCTACTGCTCTAGGGTATTCAAAAATCTGTCTCCTTGATGGCTCAAAAAGTGGGTGCATGTGAGGGGGGGGGGATGCGGACTGTCTGCAGTGTGCTTGCAGGGAGCATGCATGGTGTTATATAGCCTGTCTAGGCCCCAACCCAAACGAAAGCCCTGTTGTGCTAGGCACTGTGCAAACACAGCTTGAGAGACAGACTCTGAAGAGCTTCCAGCCTAACTAGACAAGGCAGCCAACGAGTGGGAGGGGAGCCAGGTACAGAGGAGAGGTGAGGGGACATGCCCAAGGTCACCCAGCAGGTCAGTGGCAAAGAGCTTGGAATAGCGCCAGGTCTCCTGCCTCCCACTTCAGTGCCTTAGCCACTAGCCCATGCTGCAGCTCCATGTGACGCGGGGGCAGAGGTCAGAGCAGGCGGGAGTAAATACTGGCACAAGTGAACTTAAACACTTCAACAGGCAATGGTGGAGCGCCGGGCAGAAGGCTGGAGCTGCCATTGTAACCATGTGTCCTGTATGCTCTTCTCCTCCTGCAGCTCTTGGAGATCTGTGTCTACTGCACGCTCTCCCCCGCCCCCAACCCCCGCTTGGCTTTGGGTCCCCTCCCCCAAGTTAGAAAATGGGGAGGTCTGACCCAGAGGAGGGCCAGCCGCCAGCTTCAGTGAAGCCCCCAGATGGTGGCTGGGGCTGGATAGTGCTGCTGGGCTGCTTTGTGATCACCGGCTTCTCCTACGCCTTTCCCAAGGCCGTGAGCGTCTACTTCAAGGAGCTGATGCACGACTTCCACGTGGGCTACAGCGACACAGCTTGGATCTCGTCCATCATGCTGGCCATGCTGTATGGCACGGGTGAGAATGCTAGCGTGAGCCCGGCCCCCTTCCAACAATCACCCCACCTTAGCCCTGCCCCGCTCAAACCCATACCCGGCACAGAGTGGACGCCTCCTTTGGGTCTTTAACTGTCTCTTTATGCTTCCCAACCCTCCTCTGCACTAAAACCAAATGGGAAGTTGGGGCAGGGTGACAGAGACCTCTGTCCCCAGCACCCCTCCCAGAAGGGGTATGAGCATGTAATGTTGCTGATTTATGCCCCCACGTCCTCCATGCCTCAGACATCCCCTATGTCTCCGCGGGCACCCTGAAGATCTCTTTGCCTGCTCATCAGCTCCATTCCTTGGTCAGCCAGAGGGGGTCCCTGTCTTCCCTTTTGCTGCTCTCACTGAAACTGAGTGTAGCTGTCTCCATGTTACACCGAGTCTCTTCTTGCCCCGTGGAAAGAAGGAATCAAAGCCAGGTCTGCCTTGTGGCAGTGTGGAGCCAGGGCTACTCTGTCTGGACCCTAGAGCTGACTCTCTACCTCCAGAGCAGAGCTGATGGTGAGGGAGGGAGATTTCCTTTGGCCTCAGCATTCTGCATTCACGTGCTGCAGGTGGGTGGAGAAGTCACTCAGTTGTAGCTGCCCTAACTCCTTGTTTTCTCTGGTTCTCACTGGCTGCTCCGCTTCCATTCAGGGCCTGTGAGCAGCATCATGGTGAACCAGTTTGGGTGCCGGCCTGTGATGCTCGTCGGTGGGCTCCTGGCGTCTTCCGGTATGATCCTAGCCTCCTTCACCACCAACATTATTGAGCTGTACCTGACGGCTGGCATGCTGACAGGTGAGAGCCCTACGGAGGGGGAGCGCTGCAGCTGTGGGAGTACACCCATCGGATCCCAGCAGCTTGGGGCTGGGGGTGGGAGGATGACATAGGCAGGGATAGAGACAGAAGGGACATAGATGATGTCTAACTACCATGGTGACTGGAGATGTGTATATATGTGAAGGCAGAGAGGGGAGAGAGAGATGGGGGTGGGGGTGTTTATAGAGATGCCCTGTCTGTGCTTCCACTGGATCTGTGTGAGCAAGACACATGCATAAATGCAGTTCAGGCTGGCAAGCTGCTACCTGAGGGAGACCAGGCAGAGTGAGGAGTTGAGGAACACTGGCAGGGATGATGGAGAAATAAAGGGGTCTAAGTCCATGGAAGGATTACATGGCCATATGGGAGAGAAGTGGAGACTGAGCGAGAAACACACAGCTTCATGACATGGTTTTTTCTCCCCCCTTTGCTCTGGAGAAACAGTTTGGTTGCTAAGGGAAGAGGCTTTTCTCCTTACCGTGGATGTGCTCAGGGAGCCGACGTGGCTGTTGGGAGGACAACCTGCCATGGCAGCAGCTTTATGGCACTGGCTCTTGAGGCTGGAGGAGGCAAGAGGAGGGGTCCGGGCCGTGACTGAGCCTTCTGCCTGCCTCCATCTGGAGTGGCATAGATGGAATCAGAGCTGGCCCAGGGACCTCAGTGTCCAGGACCCTTGTTCTCTGGCTGGCAAAGGCTGAGAGCACTGTGAGGACGATCTGCTCAGAACTCAGTGGCTGGCGGGAGAAACACCTTAAGGTCTGGCTCATCAATTCATTTAGCAAGATTGGATGGGCTCGAGAGGGAACTCCACACAGCCGTCTTCATACAGAGGCAGAGTCATTGGGGCATGGGGTGGGGGGAAACCACTGAGCTCTGAGGGGGCGTGTGGGAAGAGACACATGCACTAGGAGGAAGAAGAACCCATCACAACAGAAAAAAACCCGCTGGTCCATTAATATTGTCTCTTCTGGATGCAATCTGACAATGGAACAGCCTGAGGTGGGGGTCACAGTGGGACTGATCAAGAGTTTAAAGGGTAATAGCCCAAGTAAGGTGATGGTGGAGCAGTCCTGATACAGACTCTCAGGGAAGGCCTGCCAGTTAGAATGGGGTAGCCAAAGGCAGGTGGCAGTGGGCAGTCCCAGTGCAATGTAAGCTCTTTGGGACCTAGCCCTGCCTCTGCTATGAGTTTCATACAGTAAGTCATGTGGGAGAGTCTAAGACTCGGGAAGAGAATTAAACTAGATGATGGAGTCTTTGGGCTAGGTGTGTGCATGCAGAATCTCTGAGAGGTTTGCATTAGTTGTGGTCCTCTTGTCTCTGTTGTCTCACACCCATTACTCTCTCCATCTCCTCCTTCCCCTACCCCTGCCCACAGGTCTAGGTATGGCTCTGAACTTCCAGCCCTCCCTGATTATGCTGGGCACCTACTTTGACAAACGTAGACCTCTGGCCAATGGGCTTGCTGCAGCCGGGAGCCCTGTCTTCCTCTCTGCCCTCTCTCCGCTGGGGCAGGTCTTGCTCGAGAAGTTTGGCTGGCGAGGAGGATTCCTCATCATGGGGGGTTTGCTGCTCAATTGCTGCACCTGTGGAGCAGTCATGAGGCCTCTCGAGGCAGGCATGAAGCGGAAGATGGAGAGAGTTCAGGACAAATATGAAGCCAAGGAGATGCTGCCCATTGGGGAAAGGGCAGAGGAGGCCATAAGCACCATTGATGGAGCCAAAAAATCAAAGAAAACCAAGAAGAAGCAGCAGCCCAGGAAACGGAAGAAGCTATTGGATTTTTCTATCTTCTCCAACCGGGGGTTTGTCATTTACTCCATTGCTAAGTTCATCATGGTCTTGGGTCTCTTTGTGCCCCCCATATTGCTGGTCAACTATGCCAAAGACATAGGAGTGCCAGACACAGAAGCTGCCTTCCTGCTGTCCATCATTGGCTTCATAGACATCTTTGCCCGCCCTTCCTGTGGGATGCTAGCCGGAATGAAGTGGATGCGTCCCCATGTTGCCTACTTATTCAGCTTTGCTATGCTCTTCAATGGCCTGACAGACATCTGCAGCGCCAGGGCTAACACCTACACGGCACTGGTCATCTTCTGTATCTTCTTTGGCATCTCCTACGGCATGGTGGGTGCATTGCAGTTTGAGGTGCTCATGGCCATTGTTGGATCCCAGAAGTTCTCCAGTGCCATTGGGCTGGTCCTGCTCATCGAAGCCATTGCTGTGCTCATTGGGCCACCCTCAGCAGGTATGTTTGTGCTTGAGAGAGCTGTCGGTCACCCAGCTGCCCTCCCGGCCTGACACTGGGACTCTTGACCAACAGGGTAACACTAATGGTTAAGTCCTCTCAAGAATTTGGAGGCATCCAGACATTTTAACTGCATATTTCTAGCTCTAACTTTTGACTGGTGGAATGGTATCCGTAGTCATCCAATGGCATCCTAGATATCAGGGTGGGGTGGGATCAGTACCTGGCATCTGAAGGGTTCATGAGGCTGCACCTCTTTAATGCTTTGAGGGAGAGGACATCTAAGCAGATAACTGAAGAACGGAAAGGAGTTGAACTGTTCAACTCCTATTTTTAGAGAGGAATGAATGAGGGACTATTTCATTGCCTCTGTTTGCACAAGTGGGAGGGAAAGGTACCCCTGCTTTATTGTGTGTGTGGGGGGGGTAATACACACTTCTCTCTTTTTTTTTTTTTTTTTTTAATCAGTTTTTCACAAAGTATACAAAACACTGAGCTGGTTTTTCATTTCAATTGTCCCTATAAAAAAAAGACCATCTAAAATGAAGAATCTGAGTACAACCCAATTCATCACCAGGGCCGGCTTTAGGAAGTGCGGGGCCCGATTCCAACAGTTTCGATGGGGCCCCGACAGGGATAACTAAAAAAAAAAAAACACGTAAAAAAAACACATGGGGCTTGTACTCACCGGGCCGCGCTCCTAGTTTTTGGCGGCAGATCCTTCACTCGCTCCAGGTCTTCGGCGGCACTAAAGACCCGGAGTGAGTGAAGGACCTGCCGCCAAAGACCCAGAGCACCGCCGGGTGAGTAAAAATTAAAAAGGCGCCTCTAGCCAGGGAAGGGATTCTCTGCCACTTGTCCCCCACTCTGGGCGGCCCTGCCACTGGGTGTGGGGCCCTCTTAGGCGCGGGGCCCGATTCGGGGGAATTGGTGGAATTGGCCTAAAGCTGTCCCTGTTCACCACAAAACTGATATAATCGGTGTGCTGAGAGATTCTTCTTGTGAATTCTAGTAGTTTTGCTCATAAAAAATTAGCAGCTACGAGCATTTAGTTAGGGCTACCTATAGTGGGATCTACCCCCAGCGTCCTTTAATCCTGACCAACAGCACCCCCTGCTATTGCTTTGCATGGGTAAGAAGAGAAGGTTATGTTGTTGTTAAAGCCTGGCAAAAACCATTTGTGAACATTAATGTGACTAAAACCAGCAGCTTCTCATTAGTATTCACAGCCCTTCTGCTTTGTTGCTGTGCATATTCATGAGCGTGACTATTTTTGTTTTCAGAAAGCACGAGTCTCATGAATGTTTGTAGCAATACATCCCTGCCAGAATTGTGCACAGGGCTATCTCCAAATCTTTTTTTAGAGAGAAGATTCAAAGTCTTTCCTTCAATAAGGGAGTGGTGCAGGGGTGTTGGAACAATTTGTATAGTGGGGGTGCTGAGAGCCATTGAACCAAACTGTAAACCCTGGATATGATGGAAACCACTTCAAGCCAGGGGGTGCGGCAGCACACCTAGTTCCAGCACCTATGGAGTGGCAATAATATGTAACTACTAGTGAATAGTTGTTCCCTTGGGAGGGAGTAGCTTGCATAAAGTGTCTGAGGAACGTGACCAGTCCTTCTCAAAGTCTATTAGTGGATAACGTGCAAACAGGAAAACAAGGGCAAACTTACTGAATAATTTATTCCCTGAGGCATCTCTGGTGTATTGTAGGCAAATGCCTACCAGGGCCCAGACTGACATCCCCCTCCCCCTGCTCCTTTCCTTAAGCCAAAATTTGAACCCATATCTCCAGCCATGACATGGCAGTGCATGAAACACAGCATGAATGAGCTCCTCCCCATGCTGTGCCAACCATAGAATCATAGAATATCAGGGTTGGAAGGGACCTCAGGAGGTCATCTAGTCCAACCCCCTGCTCAAAGCAGGACCAATCCCCAACTAAATCATCCCAGCCAGGGCTTTGTCAAGCCTGACCTTAAAAACTCTAAGGAAAAAAAGATTCCACCACCTCCCTAGGTAACCCATTCCAGTGCTTCACTGCCCTCCTAGTGAAAACCATCCCATTGCCATGCTGAATCATAGAAGATTAAGTTTGGAAGAGACCTCAGGAGGTCATCTAGTCCAATCCCCTGCTCAAAGCACGACCAACACCAACTAAATCATCCCAGCCAGGGCTTTGTCAAGCTGGGCCTTAAAAACCTGTAAGGATGGAGATTCCACCACCTCCCTAGGTAACCCATTCCAGTGCTTCACTGCCCTCCTAGTGAAATAGTACAGGAGTACTTGTGGCACCTTAGAGACTAACAAATTTATTTGAGCATAAGCTTTCATGGGCTACAGTCCACTTGTCCAAGCTAGACCTCCCACACTGCAACTTAAGACCATTGCATCCTTGTTCTATCATCTGCCACCACTGAGAACAGCTGAGCTCCATCCTCTTTGGAACCCCTCTTCAGGTAGTTGAAGGCTGCTATCAAATCCCCCCTCGCTCTTCTCTTCTGCAGACTAAATAAGCCCAGTTCCCTCAGCCTCTCTTCGTAAGTCATGTATCCTAGCCCCCTAATCATTTCCGTTGGCCTCTGCTGGACTCTCTCCAATTTGTCCTCATCCCTTCAGTAGTGGGGGACCAAAACTGGATGCAATACTCGAGGTGTGGCCTCACCAGTAACGAATAGAGGGGAATAGTAACTTCCCTCGATCTGCTGGCAATGATCCTACTAATGCAGCCCAATATGCCATTGGCCTTCTTGGCAACAAGGGCACACTGCTGACTCCTATCCAGCTTCTTGGCCATAGTAAACCCTCCACTAGCACAGAGGCTCCCAAAGTGGGGTCCCCAGCCCCTGTAGGTTACATGGGGATCCATCTCTTGAGCCAGGGTCAGAATGTGCCAGAACAGCATTCCCGCATTTTTGCTGCATGGAGGACACCATTTTGTTCTCCAGATGGTATCCTCCGCACAGCGTGACCTCTCACACACCACGCATGAGTGAGAGCTCACACTGGCCGGGGTGTTCCAGTCACACCAGAAATGATAGGGGTCCGGGACCCTTAGTAAGATGCCAAAGGGGTTATTTGGGAACCACTGCACTAGAGCCTCTGAAGGCAAAAGCAAGGGAGGTTTAGGTTAGACATTAGGAAAATCTTTCTGTCAGGGAGGTTAAGCACTGGATCAAATTACCTAGAGAGGCTGTGGAATCTCTGTCACTGGAGGTTTTTAAGAGCAGGTTGGACAAACACCTGTCAGGGATGGTCTAGATAATACTTAGTCCTGCCTCAGAGCAGGGGACTGGACTTGATGACCTCTTGCGGTTCCTTCCAGTCCTACACTGATTGTGGGGAGGAAAGGACCAGACCTATGGCTTAATTTGGGTCACTGTGAGAACCCTCACTAACAACAACAGTACCTGGCTCCTCTTCTCTGATCCAAACAGGAACACGCTTATTTCCCACGGGGAGTAGCAGGCCCAAGCAGGTGGACACTGGCCCACTTCAGGGAGATTTCTGAAATAGATTGTGAGACAGAGGTAATGATTCATGGGGCTTAATGAAGCAGCTGTGGTGGCAGGGGAAGGGGACATTCGCTCAGCATTGCTGGTGGGCCTGTCAGTATCCAGAGCTTGGTGATATGACAGCCAAAAATGCAAAGGGGGGAGAAACAGGCCTTTATTGAATATTGTGTGCAGCACCGGAGCAGCTCCTTTCAAGGAAGGAACGTGGGAGAAATGGCAATAGAAAGAAAAGGGAAGGAGGAGACCATGAGGGGATCTGAACAGCCTGGAGAGGGAGAGATGCTTTGTCTCCTCTCCATTTATGCACAGAATTTAAGGCCAGAAGGGACAGGTCTAATCTGACCCCCTGTATAACGCTGGCCTGAGATCCTCACCCAGTTACCCCTGAGACCAATAACGTATGCTTTAGTCAAACACATCTTCCGGAAAGGCATCCAGTCATGATTCGAAGAGGGTTACGGTTATTTGGGTAAGTCAATACAGAATGGTGGAGAGGGACAAGGACAATAGTGGGATGAGAGAGGGACCTAGGGTACTGCAGCAATGAAGCTGGGACCATCTTTATATGTTGAGAGCAGTTTGTTTGTAAAATAGGATAACCAGGGAATAGCTGTCACCGTGGCGGAATGGAACTGTGGCTAAACTTATGTGTTCAGCCTATGCCAAGCAGAACAGAATCTAGCCCATGATGCCTGGCAGATGTAGGGGCCTGATGGTGGGGGAAGCTTGAGTCTGTTGGTAAACGCAGTTGATCTGACTCAGGGGAGCAGAACCAGAGTGGGAAGAAAGTAACAGTGTCACTTTGCTTGCATAACCCCCTACTTAGCCGCTACTTGGTCTGCAGGTTCGAGGGGATGACAGGGCTTGCTGTATGTTAAGATTTGCCCCCTACTATTCCCTACTCTTTACCCAGCCTGGAGTCACATATAGGGTCCCACCACACACACAGGACAATCCTGACTTTCACAGAGTTATCCCATGAGCCTTAACTTGTGGGACAATTCAAAGGTCCCCTAATATTGGTTTCAAGCATTATGCCGCAGCGTTGCATGTGATTCCATTGCCTCTTCTGAGTCGTCATACTGTGATGATGGGAAGATGAACTGGAGCAGTGTCAGACCACATCAGCATGGTCTCATGATTATTTAACACGTACAGAACAAAGGCAAATTAGTAGCTACAAGCATTGTCACAGACTCACCTCTTGGAGCACATCCTGTCTGTTTTTCTCAGCCAACACAGAATGGCTTTCTGTTGTATATTGTCCAGGGTTTTGTCAAGTGTAATTCTGAATATCCCAATAAGGCTTCAGTCTCTTTCCTTAGGAAATTATTCCCCAGCCACAGAGAGCTCATTGAGGTGCTGATCTCAGCGACTTCCATATCATTGGAAAAGACTTGCTGATAGTCTAACACTAATTATTTCTCATTTGACTATCAGGACGCTTGGTGGATGCATTCAAGAACTATGCAATCATCTTCTACCTGGCTGGCTCAGAGGTTGTACTCTCCTCCCTCTTCCTGGCCATGGCCACCTACTGCTGCCTGAATCAGGGGAAGAAGACACCCCAGCCAGAGAAGACCCCTTCGGTAGGGGGTGGCAGTGATACCGAAGAGGCAGAGTCAGATGCGCAGGAAGTGGAAGATCATGCTGGTGACAACCACCACCTGTCCCACAGCACCAACACTGCTGTCGTCATGGACAGCGATGCGGTGAACCACGTAGCAGAGGACCATAGTGCAGATGGGGTGGAGCAGCCTGCGGATGAGGGGGCAGTGCCAGTCCCAGGTGAATGCAACTCTGGTCAGACAGTGGAGAGAGAGAGATTTTAGCAAGTGAAAAGCCAGGACTAAGAGACAATGCTAAAGTGTGTGACTGGCCTGGTTTGGAGACAAGTATATGGGGGAAGGAATATGGGTTGGAAGGGGAGAGTGTGCTGGGGAAGAAGGGGGAGCTGCAAGGAACAAGAGATCGATTCCAAGAATAGCAGAATTTTTATATATATAATGTCTGTGTAACGGTATACTGCAAATACACTGATGTATTCAACACAGGCCCAAAGACCCTGAAAACCAGCCTCCCCTACAAACTGTCCCTGGGAAATATTTTTAAACAGCAGCAGAGGCAGCCAGAGAACTTTACTTTTCCCTCTACACTATCACCCTAAGACAGAGTTAGGGGCTCTCTATGATCATATCTGATTTACTCAGTCTTCAATGCCTCTCCTAATCTGCTACTGCTGTCAGGACAGACCACGCTTCATAGACTGCAGAAGAGGCCACGCTATGAACTTGGCGGGAGGGAGGTTGGTTTAGGCTGTCATGGAAGCAGCTGATGGTGTAGGGAAAAAAAGCTAGAGGGCAGCTACAGGAATTGCCATACTTCATGTCAATAATCTCTCTGACCTTGCCTCCAACCACAACCAATGCCTTAGAGAAAGGTATAGCCTTCCCCTTCCTAGGCAATACTAAAAGTGAGGGGAAGGGACTTCATTCTGACCCCAGCTTGAAATTATCTGATGAGGTGGCAGGCCAAAAGAAGTGGTTGTGATGCTTCATGGGCAAGGCAGAGGAACTGGGGGAAAAGCTCTAGTTAAGGGCACCAAGCAAGGAAACAGTCAAACTAAATGCCATTAGCTAACACCTGCCCTGACACTAAAAAGTTTTACAGATAGGAATACTAGCAAGGACCCTTCCCCATAGGCTGAATCTGCATGTCAAGAGTAGATGACATATGAGGGGGAACAACACTGAGCAGGAAGAGTTTCTCTTCAGAGCCCAGGTAAAAAACACACCATGTCTCGAGGGATTATCCCTGTGGCAGCAATGGTACAAGGGGGAGGGGTGGATGTGTGTTTTTTAACTAAAAGAAAACCCCTTATATAAAGGAATCAATGTTCAGGCAGAAGAACAAGCAGCAGCCAGAGGATGCAATGAATGAGAGGGTTTGAGCAAGTAGTAAATCAGGCTTAAGAGATGGATTTCTGGATTCTAAAAGAACAACCTTCACTCGCATGCTTAAACCACACTTAATCCGCTTTAGAACTGGGTCTACTATGACACTCCTAGCCAAAGCCCTTCCTTCCAGTTTCCTGAATTACTTTACCTCAAACACCCCGTGCCAACACCTCAAGGGCCCTATTACAACACCAAGGGATCAGAAGCCACAGGGCTGTACGGCAGGGATCTCAAGGGCTGCAGAACAGGCATTTCACTTCAGGTCACTGGCTTGAATATGAACTAGGGATTGGTCAGAGACATTACCAACTGATAGCCCAGCTAAACCGAATTTGGTGGGGGAGAGAGAGAAGGTTGCACTCCAGCTGCTACTACGCAAGCAGTACTGATTTGCTGCAATAAGGACAGTTTTCAAGGAGAGACAAGACCTCAATGAGCCAGGGGGCTTGCAACCAAGATGTGAGACAGGGCGGGGCAAAGAGCACTGTAGCTACCCCCCTCTGTCTGTGTAAGAGGCTCAGCTTGTAACTTGCAACTAGCATTGTATTCACATTAAAATTTATCTAAACTCCCAAACAAATCTGACCATTTTTGGAGCATCAAGATTAGTTAATTCCTTAGAGTATATTCTCTGTGGCTCTGTTCAATCTTGCACTTTTAAGTGACTCAAGAGAAGAAGCCTCCACCACATCTTCTGGGAAACTAATCCAGTCTACATGGACCTCACTGGTAGCAAAGGATTCCCACTATCCAGGCAACATTTTCCTTTATTCAGTTTCATATCATGAAGTCTAGTTATACAACCTTGTGGTCAGAGTCTGTCTCCCAACATAGGCAGCACCAAGCAGTAGCTGGGAATTCCTTTTTTGTCATGGGAACTCAGCAGAAGGGATAGCTACTCCACACTGGCCTCAGCATAGGGGCCAAGCCAGGGAAAGGTTACCGCTAGAGCACCTCTAGGGGGATGTGGGCTGCTGAGGAGCAAGATCCCAGGATATCCAGGACCAGACCAGTTTCCCCCACCCACCCAGGGGCCATGAAGATGGTATAGAGCCACCTTTGCCACTTCCCCTTCCAAGTTGCACTGAACATAGCTTACCATAGCTCAGGACCCGGACTGCACTTGATACTCCTTCTCCAACAGTTTTCCTATATACATTTGGTCCCTCCAGTTGCTTGCTTACTGTGGTTGCTCTTGTCCAACTCCCATTCAAACAGTGTCAGCCTGGACTCCCGAACCCCTCAGCAGGACAAAGCATGAGGAGTGCTTTTTAAAAGAAAAGTTGGTACCGTCGTATTGCACTATAACACTCCAAATGGGAGGCTAAGCAGCCTGCCCTGTGATCTCTGCCAGTCAGAATTCAGAGCTTAGGGAGAGAGGCTGTGGCCGGAGCTGGTGAAATGTGGTTTGCTGGAGCTCCATCAAGCTCCATCACTGACATTTTCCATTCCTATAAGCTACCTCTTTAACACAGCTGGCAGCCTCTGCTCACAAGGTCAGGACTTACTGTCAGCTCAGGCTTGAGGTGTGGCAGCTGAGTTTGTGGTTAGAACCTAGCATTGGAATAGCAAGGGATGCCGCGGGACAGGATTGAGGTGGACTACTGTGTTCTGCAAGGCTATATTTGCCCTCTAAGCTGAGCCATAGCACACCTAGGAACATAGGACACCCCATGTATAGCCTTATGGAGCACGTACATCACACTTTTCATCTGCAAAGCAAGGTGCAGTGATGGCCACCATAATGCTGTTCAAGGAGTTAATATCCCCCTTAAGACAAAAGGAACATAGCCTTATGCACAACCTTCATGTCCCACCTCAGGTCCAAAATAGAGAGATGAGGAGAAGCGAACAGATCACGAAAAAGCCAGTGAAAAGGGGAAGGAAAATAGAAATGTTATGTTTTTCTTTATTAGAGGCAACCATCAGCATATTAAAGCCCATTCAAGTCTTCCAGAGCAGCCTAGCCCTAGCTGGCCTTCTTGAGGCACCCACGGAGATGATGACAACAGAGTCCAGAAACAAAACAAGTAAAAAACATATAAATCATAAATTAATGCCCTTAATAGCCTTGCTCACTGCCAGCTGGTACATGTCATCCTTAGGGAGTGGGGAGAAGTCAAAACCTTCACCCCCAACAGATCACTGCCACAAACAGAAAGCCAGATATGGAACTGGGACTCCAAAAAGGAGAGAGAAAGGGAAGAAGGGTTGGGAGGAATCCTTACTTCCCCTGATTTTTCCTTTTCCCCTTGCCTTGTGTTGGGGGTGAGGAGCCTTAGCTATGAGTTTCAGCTGGGCTTTCTGGCCCGAAGGCAGCACAAAATGGGAAACCGAATGGTCCTGTAGCAACAGGGCAAGCTGTAGGGTGGGGGTGGGTGATTTAATACTCCATGCTCCTTACATCACGTGTCTAAAATAATCTCCATCTGCAGGCACTGTTTTCCCTTCCCCATAAGACTGTGTTGTTCAACACACTCTCTGATATAAGGCCGTAGCAACTCCTCCCCAGTTTTATAATGATCACACCTCTTGGCACCTATGCACAGGGAGGGGTGCACATGACAAGCTGTGCATCTTCAAGGAGCAAATCTGGTTAAGGCCAACCAGGAGCAAAATGTGAGAGGGGAAATGACCAAGGAAACACATGGACCAGAGTCCCCTGAGCCAGTGTGAATTTCACAAACCTCCTCTCTTTGACTAGTAGAAGGTTCACCTGTTGCCCATGTACTGATGAAGATGGTTCCTCTCTGATAAAGGCCATTTCCCTTCTCTTTCTTTGGGGAGGGTTATGCTACACATGGGAAGGGCTCCAGGCAGCCCTTTCCTTAAAGGATTTCATCAGTCCCTTGTTGGTTGATGCCCTGTTTACATCTACCACTAGTTCTAAACCTCAGCTTGCCTGGGTTCTCCTTCTCTTCCCTAGGAAACAGTAGCCAAAGCAGGTGGAGAGGGGGCAGATTCCTCTAGCATCCTCACACCTACCTAGAGCCAGCAGGGGCAGCAGAATTGTAAACAACATTTGAAGTGGGAGAGTAGAGAGGCAAAACCCTCTGGTCCCAGGGTAGTCAGCAGTGGAGCGAGTGGTCCTGCTGACTTCAGCATTTTTCCATCTAGTGAGGGTAGATCAGGAGGAGCTGTTCTTGCTGTCCATAGTTATCCCTCTTGAGGTGCTTTTTTTAGCAGACGCAGGCAGCAGAAGAGGAGGGATGTGCTCTTCACACTCAGAAAGGTCCCCTCCACAGGTGGAATCATATGGTGCGGGGAGGGAATTCCTCAAAGGGTTCCCCACAGTAACCCCCTACCTCAGCCTCCGAGTTGGGCAATGGAACACTGGGGAAAGCCATCCAGGCAAAGAGGGAGGGAAGGAGAAAGTGGAGGCTGGAAAGAGTGCGGACTTTGCGCCCAAGTCATCCCAACTGCCCCCATCCGAAGCAGAGGAGGAATCCCTGGCTGAGCTTATACAGAAAATCACTGAGGACGAATCACCATGTGAAACAGATTTTATCAGTCTCTAATGTCTTTCCCGCCCGCTGTGTCAGCATATTCAGGCATCATCAATAAGCTTTTCGCCATTTGCTTCCTCCTTCCTCCTGGCCTCTCGCTCTCCTGCTTCCTCTTCCTCCTCTGCCCCATCTGAGAAGACGTCCTTCTGACCATAGCTCAGGGTGGTGCGTGCTAGGTCCACTTCGATGGGAAAGACATCTGCGTCCCGGAGCACGGCGTAGCAGTCATCATTGTACTTGGACATGGTGGAGACAAAGCGCTGGAGCTGGAACACGATGTCCTGCACTGCAGAGGGGATGGGTTGGGAGTGTGTCAGTGGGGAATATAGCAGATAGTGTTCTCCCTCTCACATGCACTCTTGCTTTTTCAGTGACCAACCACCATGTCCACACCCCGTTACCCTGGATTTGAGGGGTGTGTGTACCACAGAATGTCATCAAGCTAATTGCAACTAATCTGTTCCCCAGGGTTTTCAGAACCCACAGGAGTCTCTCTCCCCTCACCCCCAAGGCTGTGACCAAGCCTCCCTCCCTGAGATTAGCCAAATATTCCTATGCAGCAGTCACATTCATGCTCTGTGCACAGCTGTCTCCCAAGCACTCTAACAGAAGGATCCATGAGGACAAGGGACCCAGACTGGATGAGGTCAGTGAGATGCTGGCAGCAAGGGTTTCTGGGCTAAGATGAGGAGGGACCACAAGGGCAAAGAACCCCTGTCTGGATGAAGCCCATAGGGGCCATGAAGGAGGGCAGTGACACTCACCATGTTTCTGGTCCAGCAGTTCAATCTTCTCCAGCACATCCTTCCTCATCCTGGCAAAACGTGTGCGTGCCTCCTGGCGGCAGCGTAGGACTAAGCGATACTCATAGTTCCCAGTGCTGACCCTGTAGAGGGGCTCGCCCAGTGCCTGCCAAGAACACCACACCATTTTAAAGACTCCCCAAAAGTCCACCGTGCCAGAGGCTTACTGATGTGATCCCATGAACCTCAGGTCACCATGTGATCCTGCTGCAGCCTTCTTGGGACCATTGAAACACAGCACAGGAACCACTGATGACTAGGAACATGGAGCTAGTCCTAGGCAAGCTACGAGCTGGAGCCCAGAGCCTCTAAATCTACTGTTAAAACGGCCACTTCAAAGGCCAAACACATAATAGCAGGGATGAAGAAATGAGCATTACTATGACACAAGGGAATGGGACTTATAGTCCCTTTCAACCTGGAAAGGTGAGAACAGATGGCCAGCTGGTACTGGATTTCTTAGCTGAGTTATTGAGAGAGACACCAGTACCCAACAAGACTATTGTACATGCAAGCAGGTGCTTGAGAAAATGCAGGTGGGATAGATAAACTTATGCCAGTTTGTGACGGCTGCCTTCCTGCAAGCTTCACCACTTGCATGTTGCCTCACAAGCAAGCAGCAAGGTTTCTTTTCAAATATATAAAACCCTTGACAGGGCTTTGGAGCGGAGCCCAGAGCTGGAGCACAGAGCAGCTCCGGAGCAGTGGAGCTACAGGTTTTTGCCTGGAGCTGGAGCGGAGCCGGAACACAGCTCCAAAGCCCTGTAGAGGGCAACTCTATCCAGGCATCCGTATGTTGCCTACCTCTAGTCATGGCACTGGAAGTCAGTAAGGGTGGAACTACTAATTGTCCAACAGCACATGTTTGAGAGAAAAGCGATGGGGTCTGTCAGCACAGGGGACAGCAGACCGTGCTTCCTCCCTACACACATACTTGCTTCTGCCTGTGGGTCTGGAATGTACCCTTCATTCATGTGTGCCAAAGCCCAACAATGGCACCCTGCTGGCCCAGGGGGAGAGATTTTCTTCTCCCATTTAGCAGGATGTATATCATCATCATTAGGTGTTGGGTTACTCAAGTTTTACTAGTTACTAAGGAGGCACCATTGTCTGGTCCTCTGAGCAAAGAAGTGGGCACCAAGGAATGCGGAGTTCTAATCTCAGCTCTGATACTGAGTCCATCTCTGACCTTGGACAAGTCCACAACCCCCTTGTATAGTTGGGGAAACTGAGGCATACACAAGGCATCTTTATTTACCTTATAAGTTGTTGGTAAGGATTAAGATTTGTACAGCACTTTGAAGAGTCACAAGGCTATATTCAATGCTAGGAATTATTTTCCATGCCAGTTTGAGGATTTTACTGGATTTTTGGAAGTCTTCCAATTATAATTATAAATATTTAAGTACATTGTCACTAGGAGAGATTCTCCTGAAATTTTCCTTAAACAACTACAATTGCAACTTACAAACAAATTTGCATTAGTGTGGGATGCAGAGTATCTAATACAGGACTTAAGATAAACTGCACATTATACTCAAGTGGAATCCATTAGGATAACACTGTATAGTAATCCTTAACACATACTAGTATTACTAGAAGAGTAGGACACACAATCCAATGAGCATGCAATAGAGATGATGACTGGTCCCAATGATTTGTGATGATGGGATGTGTTTCATAAATGGTATCAGTTATATTTTCTGCATAGCATTCAAAGACTTTCAGGTTTGAAAACTAACAATTTTAATGTATTATTAGCAGGGCTAATGTATGGCTGTATGCAGGCACATCTGTGTTTCTGTGGGTTGCATGTGAGGGAGGACAAAATGCTATAGAAATACAACCTGCAATCTGTACTCACAATGCAGCTGTATTCCTCATCATCCATCTCCTTCACTTTCAGGCAGTAAGACTACAAAGGAAGGGTTAAAGAACAGAAAACACCAAGGGTTAAAAAACAACAACACATCATCACCACACAAAGTATTGTGTGACCAAGTTTCCAGGCAATCAGACGTGTAGGGGGTTGTCCCTGCTTCTCAAGACCTTCTCAAATGGTGTGGCCATGGACACTGGGAGAAGCCCAGATGGACCAGATGCAATATCTCAGAAGGAGAATGAACCCCGTTTGGAGAAAGGGGAAGCAGGGTAAGCACGCCCCTCCTAGGAAGCAGGCAGGCAAGCAGGGGAAGGGGCTTGTTATTTATACTACAGTAGCACCCAAAACATCCTGGACCCTGGATAGACATACAGGAAGATTCTGTCCCTCCCTAAAGAACTTACAGTTTACTAAAAAGCTCTGTGCTGTGTATGGTTTGGGGCACTACCATAGCAAAAAGTCACCAGGAATAAATAAGAAAGCGATGAAATGATTAAAGGGCTGGAAGGATTGATTTAAGAGGAAAGATTGTCAATTGTCTAGCTTGGCTAAATAATGGCCAACTCAAATATCTGAAGGGTATTCATGCTGGGGAGAGAGAGGAAGCGTTCAGGAGATTCCAAGATGGTAAATTGTGTAGGAGCTCCCTTACAAATAAGGAGGTTACATTTAACGAACCAATATGTCATGTGGATATCAGGAAATGTATCTTAATTGTGAGGTCCATTAGGTTACAGAATAGTCTCTCAAGGGAAGTAGCTGAAGCATGTTTCTTGGGTCCTGGAGACTGGAGAAAGTGCTAGATAAGATAAGGTATGGAATACTCTTGACCAGGAAATAGAGTACATGTGAATGAATAGGTCTTCTCTGTGCCCATGTGCTATGATTCTATGAAACCCAATCTCTCCCAGATGTTAAATTAAAAAAAAAAAAAAAAGAGAGAGAGAGAGAGAGAACAGCTCACCAAGTACTCAAACTTGACATCCAGGTATTTTTTGATGGTCAGTCTTGTGTCGGGAATGGCTTTGTTCAGGTATGTATTCAGGTCAGTCAGCATCTGCAGAGAAAACATGTTAGTAAAGTTACAGGGCTAAGGAGGAAAAGGAGCATTAAAAGGGAGCTAAAAGGACTTGATGGCCTGCTGCTATGACCTAGGGCACCCTCAATCTCGTTCACAGCGAGGCAGGTGTCCATGTCACAGAAGTCACCAGCATGAATGGTACGATTTGTTCCCTTTTGTGGACAGTCTTAGCAGAGAGCTCAAGAATGGAAGGGACTATGTAGATGTAAATATATTATCAACAGATGTGGAGCCTCCAAAAGGAGAACAGGCATACTGGAGAGTGTGCGTGCAAGTGTGATAGTCTAGTCTATTCTGTCTTAACTGTTTAGACAGTTCCTTTAAAGAAAGTTTCTACAGTGTTATTTCTAATTCTTCCCATCACAATTTTTAAGACCATACCCTCAAAGACAGACTCCTCCATTTCTGGACTCCTCTCCCACCATTCCCCCCTTTCTCCTGTACGCTGATGCCAGTCCCCTCTCCTGTGCTTTGATTCTTTACCGGTTTGATAGTTTTCAGTAGGCGGATCCCAAATTTCTCGATGCTGCGATGGGCATCTGCAAATTTCACAAAGGCTTCACTGGCAGCTGGCTGTGGTTCCCGTACACCAATGACCGAGAAAACATCTCCAAACGCTGAGCAAATTAAAAAATACATACAAATGGAGAAGGGGTTTATCTGGAGAGAAGCCTCCATGTCTGATATTAAAAACCATTCCCACAAGCTAGAATTTGGCCAGGTGCAGTGTAACAATCCTATTCTCGCAGAATGCCAGAGGTTCCTTAAAGACCACAAATAGTCAGCGACTCACTTTTATGTCTCATGTGAAAGATGGTACCTATGGCAGCACAGTGCCCATTAACACCATGCTAGGGAATTGTTTCTGAACTGACTCAGAAGGAAGTGCACCACTTCCTCACTCATTCCTGCAGTCTCTAGTTTTTGTTGGGGGTCATGGTTCAAGTACTGATTAGGTCTGATGCTTCTGAGATCTGATAATATCATAGACATCCACTCCCCCAGCCTAGGGTGGTCAGCCTGCTACAAGTTTGAGGACTGAATTCCTTCCAGTCTGTTTACCTCTGTGTGTCTGGGAGAGTTCAAAGAAAGCTCTAAGGAGACTCTTGGTGTGCTCTGTCATGCCTGTGGTGCGGGAAGAGAGAGAGAACATACAAATCATCCCACTGACACAGTAGCCTCCCTCCTCCAATCCCAATCGAGATGTCTGACAGAAGAGGGCAATTTACCTTTGTACAGCTCTGCGGTTCTCTCCAGCTCCTCCAGCCTCTTCACCAATCCATCTAGAGGGGAGCAAAGAACCAGAGAACAGGTGGTTATGATGCTGAATCCAGGGGAACATAGGAATGTGAGTGGCTGAAAGGAGAGGGTATTTATTTTATATGAATGGTTGAAAACACCCTCTCCCCACCTCCTCAAAAGTCTGGCTCCTTACCCAACAGGTAAAACTTTAAAAATTAATCCAAACTGGATTCAGAGTTGTATAATTCGACTCACCACCTATTTGAAATTCACTGGATTGGCCCTGATTTTCACTGTTCTGTTGTGTCCTGTCAATCCAGCTATCAGTTAAAGAGCCCCAGAATATTATGTCATGGGCTGTGGATGCAATCATGATATACAGGGACCCAGCGTATTTCCCACAGAGGCTGTGCAGCCCTATTTACAACAGTAATAAATGACAAGAAGGCACAATCCTGAGGGAAGAAAGCAGAGCTTGTGTTTAACTACGACAAATTAGAAGGAGGGACGGGGTAACTGCTAGATAATTACTGCACCCCTCAGATGAGAAAGCTGAATGAATATCACAAGAAATGCTCAGGTTCATGCATACCCTACTACTATCCTAAGACAGAAGAGGTTGTACATGAAGAAATGCCTGACAGACATTAATACAACATCTTTTATCCAGACATCCCACAGCGCCTGACATATTCATTTATTATTAGGGGATTGGGATTGAACATATGTACAGTCATGAACTCCTTGACTATTAGAAGTTGAAGTCTGGGCCACAAGTAATTGGAAACATTGTTTTCCCTACACTTGTAACAGGTTTAAAATGTGACCTATAGCCCCAATCTCACAATAATTTAGGCATTCTTAACACACATGAAAAGGTGTATGGAGAATCACTTCATTCACCACTGAAATGCAGCTACATCCAGACTGGAAGGTGGCAGCTGTATAACAGCACAGGAAGTACAGAACTGCCATACCCATTTGGGACTGCAGAGGGTATTATGAGGGACATAGCCATGCAGCCAGGGAGACTTTTTTGAATCCAGGTTTATTATGCACCCGGGACACTTGCAGGCAGTGTGTTTCACACAGGGTTACTATAAGGTGTGACATGACTCAACAAAACTGAAACAAATGCCTGTAGTCAGAATACAGTTAAAGAAATGATAGAAAGGACACTAGCAGATAGGAGGGCTGTTGCTTGTTGGTATAATTATTTTGACCTTGCAAAATGATTGTTGTGTCACTGAATGCTGTGAGGTTGCATTGCCATGCATTCATAACACTGCAATGCTGCACAACAAAAAAACACTCAGGAATCTCTCACTGTCCTGTGATCTAAGTACATGAGACTGTGTCTCATGCAAGTATCAGGAGAGGTGCCTGCCCTAGTCAGACCCCTTGCCCCACTAGTACTACTGGGCACCAGCTTAACAAACACTACCCCCCATGGCATTATTAGATACCAGCTTAACTGACATTGCCAGTAGCCAAACAGGAAGGTGCCTTTCTCTGGCTGCTTACCATTGCAGAGGATGGCTCGGCTTAGTCCCAAGGCATCTGCTGTACCCGAGCTCATGTTCTCCACCAATCGGTGCTTCACTTTCTTTAACACTACACCCAGCAAAAAGTGTCAAAACTCAGGATCAGGGTAATTTCCACAGTCACAAAGAACACAGTTAACAAAACTCAGGTTTCAGGTACCAAACTGGCTAGATTGAGCCTAACTCAGCAGAGCTCAGAGGAGACTGAGCAGAGAACAAAAAGACAATGCCACAGAAATTAGATGCAGGGAAGATCTGAACCTGGGCCAATGCAGGCAAGTTCCCTACAATATGTTCTCTAATCAAGTCCTATGTACCCCAGGCAATGAGGCTTCCACAACTTTCTTTGGAAGACACAGCCTAATAGCTCTCACCATAGGAAATATGCCTTGACATTCAAGACCACATCTTGCTTACTTTACTCAACTTCCAATGAAGTTAACAGAATAGCGTGAGAGTAAGGCAAGTAGGATTTAGTACTCAGTCAAAATTTTCCCTTTGCTTAATTTTATCTCATGACTCTTAGTTAAAAGTCTTTGTACCACCCTTAACATTTCCTCTCCCTGTTTGGTGATCATTCCTTTCAGATTCCTGAAGATAATTATGCCCTTTTCGTAATCCTATGACTATTCTACATGTATTTAGGGCATGATTTTTCAGAAGTGCTGAATGCCTGCAGCTCCCAGTGACGTCAGCTGAAGTCGTGGATACTTGGCACCTCTGATAAATCAGGCCCTTCGCTCTTATTTTTTCTCAGAAATCCATTTCCCAGCCCCTGTTTATTTTTGGCTGCCCTTGTCTGAGTTTCCTTTAGTTTGTCAGCATCTTCACTGGCAGGGGAGAATGAAAACAAAAGAAAATCTAAAGAAATAAGAGGGGCTACCCTTTACTATATGCGCGGTTCAGCTTTTCCAGGGTGCTGGGAATGTGATCACATTTAAAGGGGACACTCGGGTAGGTTAAACTCAAAATGTAGCTTTTGTTTAAAAAAAGTTTTACAAAACCCAATATGGAGAGAAATGTCCTAATGATTATCTAAAATAAGATTAACTGAAGACAGGAGTTTTGGACTGGAATCTTTCCATGCACTGTCAGAAATCCAAAAACACCAGCAAGGGCAGACTGAATGAAAAACAGTATATGAAACTGACTCATTGAGTTTCACTGTCCAAACTGAACACAATGCAGAAAGCAAGTAACAGCAAAACTGATAAAGTTAATTTAATTTTAAATAGGTATTATTAGTAACACAGAGAAGGACTTTAAAAAAAGAAAAAACCAACCCAAGGTTAGCTTGTGTCCATTTAAAGGAGACAAAACAACAGCAAATACTGAAACAAAGTCTGATTTTGATTTTGGCTGGGATCTCCTCACCACCCTCCTCCTACCCTGCATTTGAAGGGAGAGAGAGAAACCAGCATGTCTTACCGATATCCAAGGACTTGCCCTGCTTTGGGTCGGCTTGGAGTTTGTTGTAGTGAATAGTCACTTCTCCCTGGATGGAATAGCAAAGCCAGAGCTGTTGTTCTGGAATTGAGCAGCAAGGGCCTCCTCTACTGAAGGACAACAGTTTATAATCTGTGACCCAACCTGTTCCATTGGACCGTTCCTACTCCTTACCTTTACCACCTGTATCATTTTGGCTACCTCCACTTTGGTTTTCCCTTTTACTGACTTCCCATTCACTCCTGTGATTTCATCGCCAGCCGCCACAGTTCCATCTAGGGCTGCCGGAGTGTTATCAAACACCTAGGAGAGAAAAGGAAGAGTAGAGGAAATATGGAGCCAGAAAGGAGCGCAATTAAGTCTTATTTATGGGCCAGCCTCTATTTCGCTTCCCTTCCCAACCCATAACATTTAGACACCCCACATGGATCTGAGGAGAGGTGAGCACACAGTTCCTTCTGGGGCCTGTCACCTCTACTTTGTGCATCATCTACGGCAGGATTTCTTGAAGTCTAGTACAGTAGTTCTCAACTGTCCAGACTACTGTGCCCCTTTCGAGAGTCTGATTTGTCTTGTGTACCCCCCGAGTTTCATCTCACTTAAACATACTTGCTTACAAAAATCAGACATAAGAATACAAAAATGTCACAGCCACTATTACTGAAAAATTGCTTACACTCTCATTTTCCACCATATGATTGTAAAATAAATCAATTGGAATATAAATGTACTTACATTTCAGTGTATAGCATATAGAGCAGTATAAACAAGTCATTGTCTGTATGAAATTTTAGTTTGTACTGACTTCGCTAGTGCTTTGTATGTAGCCTGTTGTAAAAGTAGGTAAATATCTAGATGAGTTGATGTACCCCCTGGAAGGCCTCTAAGTACCCCCAGAGGTACACATACCCCTGGTTGAGAACCACTGATCTAGTACATCACCTATGGCACTTCCCCCTCTGACCTCTTTGAATTTTAATATGCTCCCAGCACTCTGCTGATTCTCAGGTGGATGTGTGAATTCAGGAGCCTTAACCCTATCTTTCCAGAACTATTCCCAATTAGTGTGAGAAACTTCCGTTTGCTGGCAAAGAAAGAGGACGCTTCGCACTCTGACAAAAGCAGAAAATATAAGGTTCTCTATGCCCCCCCCCTCAGCTTCCATCTGTCAAGTTTAACATTGCTTCACAAGGACAATCAGAATACTCTCCTCTTCCATGAGTGCCCACCTGAACAATATAGAGACAGGGACAGTACTGTGCTCCTCCCCCAATGCTGATCCCAATCAGATTCTGAGTGTCCTTCTTCAAGGTTACTGTCCCAGGAACGGTGGGGATCCCACTAGAACAATAGAGAGAGAGAAATGATTACTGATACAGGTTGGTATAACAGTATCTGCATGCAAGAGCTAAAATGTATAATCTGAAAATATACCAGATACTTCTCATCTGAACTAATCATCTTACTGCTGCTGTTTAGCCTTCCAGCCCAGATTGGAAGGACCTTGCCCAAACATGATTTCGATAGGTTTATTTGAAATCACTAAGTTGAACAAGAGGCTAATGATTACATATGTGATAATGGAAGTAGCCTAGTGAGCAAATCCAGTACTGCAGTCAAAACCAGGCCCCTCTGTCTTCTATCACTGGGAATAGAGAGAGTGAAAAAGATACATTGGGAGTTCTGAGTGTATGTGAGGAATAGAGATAGAAAACATGCTCCATGATATACTGTGAAGCATACTTAAAACCCTCAAATATTTTGGTGGCTATTATTTTCAAATCTCTGTCCAAGAGTTAGGTGAATAAATGCACAACACAAATATGCGGGGATGAAATATGACTGACAGCGAAGACTACTCTCAAAACAGAGTCCCTCTATTTACCCCACAAAAACCCTTTTATTTTCAAATAAAATTCTAGTGCTGTCATGCTGTGGGAGCTCCACATGACTGTCATAGATCTATAGATTATTATTATTACATTTTAGTCACGGGTATATTTAGTAAAAGTCACGGACAGGTCACGAGCAATAAACAAAAATTAATGGCCCGTGACCTGTCCATGACTTTTAATAAAAATACCAGTGAATCAAACTTGAGTGTGGGAGGGGTAGGGGGTTGGGGCACTGGACAGGATGAGGTGGGCTCTGGGTGGCTCTTACCTGGGGGGCTCCCCAGAAGCGGGGACATCCCCCTCGCTCAGCTGCTAGGCGGAGGCATGGCCAGGCAGCTCTGCTTGCTGCCTCTGCCTGCATGCACCGCCCACAGCTCCCATTGGCCACGGTTCCTGGCCAATGGGAGCTGTGAATCCAACCTCCTACCCCTCCCACACCCAAACTCTGCAGCTGGGGGTGTACGGGCGCCCGTGACTACCCCAGCAGCAGCTGGTGCACCTGGCACAGGGGCAGCCTGAGCTGCCCCTGAGCCAGGTACACCGGATGCTGCAAAAGTCACGGAATCCATTACTTCCCTGATCTCCGTGACAAACTCAAAGCCTTAAGGATTATACATTCTCCTGCTATTTTTTCCTACTTCATATTTCCCTCCCTACCATTCCAGCAGAGCGCGCCCCTTTAGAACACATTAACACTGCTGTGCAATCAGTAAATTAGGAAGAGTCATTGTAGAGCAATAGAATGCTTTTCCCTCTGCTCACCACCACTGCAAGGCTCAATCCCTCCTAGCCATAGGGAGTAAGAGATCAAAACTGAACAATGAACCTAAATCTCCAACACACATCACCAGGAGCGAACAACTCTGCCTGCTTTGAGCAGGTCCTGGTTGCAGCTCCTTAGGCATCGTCTACACTTAAAACTTAGGTTGACCTAGCTATATCGCTCAGGGCTATGAAAAATTTCAAGTCCCATGCAATACAGTTAGGTCAACCTAATCCCCACTGTAAACAGAGTTAGGTTGACAGAAGAATACTTCCATCAACCTTATCTACTGCCTCTTAAAGGAGTGGATTTATTACAGTGATGAAAAAACCATCATCGCTGTAATATGTATCTACACTACCGCAGCAGCACTGCAGCTGTCCCATTGTAGTGTACACATATTCTTAGTGATATTCAGTTGTTGGGAAAGGGAAGTGAAGCACTCACAGTTTATCCTCCTCAATGTCATAGTCCAAGTCTCCAAACATTGCTCTTGCTGGCTGGAGTCTTTTGACCTGAGACTCCGTTTACACCAAAGTGCCTGGGAAGAGGAAAAAAAGAACAAAACCCAGTAAACTTAATTATCTGAATTCATCTATGCTCAGCAGCTAAAACTGAAGACTCAAACTGTGCCCTCTGTCAGCCCCTTTCTCTCTCTCTTCCAATGGGGGATGGAGCTGTCAGACCCTCTCCTGCCTTGGGGATGAAAGATATTTCAGACCCTTCTGATTCTCCACTCTGGGTTGGGGATGGGGATAATAGTGCTTTTTTTTTTTTATTGTTTTACAAGCTATACAAGTACTGGCAATGCTTAGGACAGAACACGGTCCATTTTGGAAGCTGAATCTTTGTGTGTTGTATCTGCTTGCACAATACTTTTCAGTGGTATCTGGAGTCTTATCCCCTTCATCCATTTACTATTTCAGTTTCTTCTGGATTCTGGGGCAAGTCGATACGTATCACACAGTCCTCTGCCTCTCTCCTCCGGGGGCTACGCACAGTTTCCCCTCACTGTTTTTTACAGGAATTCTTCTAGTTTCTGACAGTTTGAGGAAGTATCTTTCTCCAGTTCCCTCATATTTCAGACAGGAGTGTAGCAAAAGTCTCTCTTCTTCACCCTCTCCTCTGTTACAGTAACCGCACAGTGGTTCTTCTCTGGGTTCGCACCATGTTCGGAGTCTCCCAGTTTCCGTCACGCCATTGGGGTGGCTGGCACTGGATTTGGGGAGCCTGCCTGCGCGCTGCACCCCACGGGTGGGTCTGCGAGGTGCCTATGCTGTGCGGCGACCGGCCAGGTTCGGTGCTGCCGGGGGGCCAAGCGGGGTTGGTGGCGGCTCGACATGGGGGTGGGAGGGCTGCCAACCATTGGGGGATCCCTCTCTGCTGCTCGGGGTGAGGTGACACAGCAGGGGAAGCGCAGGGGGCCAGGCTGGCACGGGGGGAGGGCAGGGGCTCTGGAGGGAACAGCCCCCCGGGGAGGGCGGGGAGAGCGGACCCAGGCTACGCCCGGGAACCGGGGGCAGGGCAGCAGGGAGCTAATGGGGACCCCTCAGGCGCCCCCCCTTTTGGGGCTGGCAAAACTGGAATGGGGGAGGAGGTTAGTCACTCACCGGAAACGGCTGGCTCGAGCTGGGTACCTGCATCCACCTGCCGCCTCTACCTGTCAGAACACCGCTCCTCCACGTCACTTCCGGACCGGAAGCCTCCTACCTAACCTCTCCTTCCCCCTCACCCCCGCTTCGCGTGCCGTGGGGAGCAGGTATCTATAGACCCGGCCGCTGCCCCCACGCTCGCCTCTCGCGATAAGACGGGCCGGCCCCCGGGGGGGGGGAGGAAGGAGAGCGGGTTGCTATGGCGACGGAGAGCGCTCGGCTGCTAGCCGGACAACCAATAGAGGAAGGGGCGGGGCCTAGCTCTGGCTCGCCCCCTGCCGCCGCCACGTTGGGGGAGGCGGGGCGGGGGAGCAGCGGTCTCTGGTGGGGGGAAGGGACGGGAGGGCTGCGGCTCCTTGTCCCTCCCCGCAGCGGGGCCGCTTGGGAGCCTCCGCCGAACCCCGCATCCCATGGCAGGGAGCAGCCGCGTCACATCCTCCGCCTGGGCCCCTGCAGCCGGACGGGGGTTCGGCTACCGGCCCGTCCAGAGCAGCCGGGGCCACAGCGCCACCGGCTAACGCCAGCGTGTGCGCGCCCGCCTGGCCCCTGGGCCGCCCGGCGCGCGCGTCTCGTCCTCTGCAATGGAGGGAGGAAGAGCGGGATGGTGGCGCAGGCTCTGAACTGGGCCTTGGGAGGTCTGGGCTCATTTCCCAGCTCTGCCACGGGCCGTGTAACCAGGGGCTAGTCACTCAGCAACCCTGGGCGATCATGGGCAAGTCATTCCCTCTGCCCTGTTCCCCGGTTCTCCAGCTGTGACGGGGCGTTCCCCACCTCCCGCTCCCACATTGATGAGAACC